GAAGAAGTGAGACACTTTAAAACCTTACTTCTTGCTTCAGTCTTTAATGATAAGTTCACTTAAATAATCCAGCACTAAAGTAAAAATATATTTAGTTCAAAGACAAGTAAAAATACTGATGCTTCAGTCAAGCTGATCGAACCGTGGAAGTGAGATGCCACTTAGTCTGAAAGATCATTTTCTATATACTGTTCTGAAAACTTTGGACTGCTATTAAAATGGTTTGGATTATCTAAATTATCTTCTCTTACCAGAATGAAGCAGTTTTATAAGTATTATACTACTTCATCTTGCTCCCGGTATTTCCCAAGAAAGCAGATTTCTATCTTTCCTTCAAAGGTTACTTGTGCCTTTCCCTGCACTGACATAGCATTAAATGACCATGTAAAAGTGCCATATATCAACTCAGAAACTATATCTAACATGCTCACTGCTTAGTAAAATAAACCCACATGAGTAGCACTTTGCTTAGTTTTTCACATCTTATAAACTGTTTCAGACCAGTCTCCTTTGCAAAACTAATGATTTTAGAGGAGCCCTAAACAAAGGGGCTTCTCATCTAACAGTACTGAAAAAAAACCAAACAAGCTGGTATTCCTACTTTTCATGAAAGCCTCCGTGTGGTCATTTTTATTCCAGATTATGAGTATCATATTTAGTTTAATTTACATGTGCGCCAAATTTTAAGCCAGTGTAAATGACAATAGCTCCACTGAAGCCAAGGGAACATTTCCAAGGTACACCGGGAGCTGATCTTTCAAAATGATAAGACAATGTAGCCCAGGTTTAGAACTGATTTAGAACATTTATGGTTCAGATTTAAGAATAAAAGCACTGCTGCTTTTCCAGGAAAATATTTGAACTACTTACAAGGTCCCCAGATTCTGATGGAATCACCTTCAAAACTATTTAGAATTGAGTCTAAATAGTCTCTCAGGTACATGTGGATGTGTAGAGTTCCCATAGCATAATATTTGGCCTTTCCATATATGTACATCTGCCATGCACTACCAATAAAAACAGACCAAGCTTTTTGTGTAACAGAAGCAATTTGAAAGAATGTGTGCATAATGACCTGATTACATAAAAGGATATATTATCACCTCTGTGTGCCGGAGAGTAGGTGTGAAACTTGCTGTTCTCAACAAGAATAACAAAACAAAGCTTCTGGGCACTGAAATGAGAATTACACCATAAAATTCCTGTCTCAATCCCAATACAGCTATTTTAGCTTTGCAACATTTCTGAAAGGGTAAATATTTTGCTAAGTCTGATTTTCCAGTTAAAACTGAAAATATCAAAGTGTTGCAGGTGGCTCATAGATAATTAAATAGCTTGGTGTAAGACAGTAAAAATAATGACATTTAAAAAAAGGCAATCAGAGCAGATTTCCCATGACATGGACAATGCATTCTGTACTTACCCACAGGAGACATTTCAGGAACACCCGCCGTATAAGGACCATCCAGAAATTTTGGTTCATTGTCATTGATGTCCTGAATCTTAATGACGAATTCCGACTCTGGTTCCACGGGTTTGTTAGTCAGCCTATCTAGTGCTTGTGCTCGGAGCGTGTAGTAGGCCTGCTCTTCCCGATCCAGCCTCTTTGTAGCATGAATATCCCCCGTGTTCTCATCAATAATGAAAATGGAACTTGCCCCTTCGCCTGACAAGATGTATTTGATGGAGCCATCTCCTTTATCAACATCAGAGTGAAGCTGGTGAAAAATTGATGAGAGATGAGATTAACTTACAAGAGAGTCAGCGATATGGAGATATGTAAAAATAATTCTTATGTCATGCAGCAGCACATGAATTTTATTGTTCTTGGAAAGATAAGCTGAATGTCTGTTGTGCACGGCATGTAAAATACTATTAGAATCTGTCAGCCTGCTCTTTTGAGAGAGAGAATTTCATGCCTTTCTGTAAACAATCTAATTTTCAACTGCATTTTATATTGCCTCATAACAACAGTACTCTCATGCTCTACTTCTCATTTTTATAATGCCATTTGCTCTTACCTAAGCTTAACTATTTTACTGGTACTGATCCACTATCCTATTGTATATTTGTGATTTTGGAGCACAGTCATTATCAACTAAATTTCAATAACTGCTTACTCCCTTTTTGTCACCATAGATAAACTGCATGTTGATTTCCCCTGTTCAGAGTTTGTTTGAGACAATACAAATACAAATGAACAGTGAATGAAGGAGTCTAGTACTAACTTACTGGCTGGCCTTCCAAGTCAATAAGCTCATCTCAGTATTCCCCTATATAAAATAAGAACAATGCTTATCTGTTTTCAAAGTACTAAGAATTATAATTAGGATAGTGCTAATTTTTAGATAGTTTTACAATGATCATTTCAGTGAGATAATGGGCACACTCACAAAATTCCATCCAAAATGTGAACACATTGCAATTTTGTCAAACAATCAGAGAAATCAGCTTGATAACAAGCTAGAAAGAATTATAGCTTTTTGGGACTATAGGAATGATATGAATGTATTCTTTATATATAATATAAATATATGTAATACAGTACAAACATATCTTAAATCCAGGAACAAGTACCTATTCTGAACCTACATAAATAGTAATAACAACTGCATTTCATAGCTAGAGGCAACCAGCTTCCACAAAATATGCTAATAAAACATGAGAAGAATCTGGAGAGGACTTTACAATAGATATTTTCTAGGACTGCACAACATGAATGGCAGCATGTAGTTACCACAGGACCAATTAGTAGTAGGAGGCAACCATCAATCTTTCTGGATTATGATGTATGCAAGATAGGTCACCAGGACCTCCAGCAGGAGTGGAGGCTGCCCAGACCTCAATTTAGACTATTGAGATGGCATTCAAAGACCAGACTTTATGTGCCTCAATAGCTGTATTTATTTGCTCATCAAGAACTAGAACACAGGTCTCCCATATGGCAGACAAGGATACCACTGAACCATAACAGTGAGGGTACAATATAAAGGTACCAGAAGAGGTAGAAGTTCAAATTAATTTCCAATCAGTTCTGTACAACACCTTTTCTCAGGGAAATTTGGGGTGTCTTTACATGTGCTCCAGGTTGTGGGGGAGGGAAGAGAAACTAATTAGAGCAGCTCTTGAGAGTCACTAATTGAAATGCCCACAGTGTCTCAAGTATTCAGTGTCCCATACTTCAAAATGACACCAGGGGCACTTTAACTAAAGCTCGTTGAATAAGCTTTAGTTAAAGTGTCTCCACCACCAGTTTCGAATGTGGGGATGCTGAATACATGTGACACTGGGGCTGCTGGAGTGTTCTAATTGGTACACTCCAGCAGACTTGATTAACTGACTCTGCATTCTAATTAAAACACATTGAAGCAGAAAGCAGGCATGTGTATAGGTGCCCTTTGGTCCTAACTGCAACAGTCTTAATTTCCTGTGTTAGGTTTTTTAGCTTATTTATGCAAATAGAAATCTATTTTCACTTGTAGAATATGACTTAGCTCAGAAGTCAGTCTTGATGATCATACCTGAGCAAATAAACACACATACAGCCCCACACAAAAACACTAAAACCTCTGGTGTGGACATGAGAGAAAGGTCCTCCGTTAGACACTTGCTCCTCTTTTTTATGGTGCTACTGACAGAAATGCAATGCCAAAACTAGTTTAAAATGATAAAGATGTTCAGACTTTTCGCTTCCCTTCTTTGAAATGTATCAAATGTAAGTTGAACTTGTTTACAACAGTGCTATTATCATCATTTCCATTAATTTTTTCCCTCTCAGCTGGAAATGTCACTAGGGTCCAGATGTGGAGTGAGGGGGTGGGGCGTGGTGCATAGCCAGGCACAGAGTGGGATGGGTGTGGTGCATGGCTGGATGCAGAGTGGGGAGGGGTGGCATAGGGCTGGAAAAGGAGTGGGGGGGTGGCACGTGGCCGGATACAGAGTGGCGGCAGTACAGAGTGGTGGGTGGCAGCAGCAGCTACCACATGCAAGCTTCCCCCCACCCCCGCATCCAGCCAGCTGGATGGCACCCATGTAGCCTACACAGGGGTACTACTGTCCTCACCCCCCCCCCCACAGCCCTGCTCCTGGAAGGTGGTGGAATGGGATGGTAGGTGGTGCTCTCCATCCCCACCCACCTGCATGTACCCCCTAGGGCCTTCCCAAGTACCCCAGGGGTACACATACTCCCAGCTGACAACCCTTGCAGTAAGAGATCCCTGAACACTTCTATCAGATTAGCCTTACACAAATCACAGCACAAGCTACAGTTGTCTTTCAAAATATGGCAAGAGCAGATATCCTCAAGTGTTTAGGCTACTTAAGCAGGATGCTGAATGTATGGGTTCAATTCCATCTTCTCCCTGAGAAGATTCAAAACCTCATCTCCAGCTTTCCAGGAAATTACCCTGCCAACTGAGCCATTGACTATTCTAGGGTGAAGGCACTGTCATTTTTTTCTACTGAAGTTGTTCCATTCTACAAGATGTATTTAAAAATTCTTTGGATCTGAAAGAGAGCACAAGAGGGAATATGACTGTCTAGCCAAGTGGTTAGGTCACTCACTTGGCTAGAGAGTCAGTTTTGCTTTCTTTCTGTCCTAATGAATCTTTAATTCTTTTTTTCCAAATTGTAACTGTTTTGACAGGAAGGAATAAGATTAGCTAAGACTGTAGCATGAAGGAATTCTCTCCTGGAAGGTAAGAAATCATGGGTAGACAGGAAATTAAACACCTACCTCCCCAGGGTAAATGCCCTAACCACTGAACTGCTGTACATAAGTGGGGTGATTATCCTTTTTCCAGATATGTTTTGAAAAAAAAGAATGATCCCTTTCATAATTATTCAAGGAATGGTTACAGGCCTAACTCCAGAGTGGAGGAAAGCACTTGCCAACAGTACTTATAAAAGTCTCCTATCCCCAAGGAAGGGATAGGATTTAAGAACACACCATTTCCTATTCTCTAGTTTTGGTGATCCACTGCTCTGTAGGTTGTGACTCCTACCTAACCTGACCCTATAGGCTAGGGACAGACATTCAAGAAGCCTGAGCCTGAATTGATTCAATCTTTGCAGGTTAGTCTGACCTAGCTAGGCTGAACAAGTTTGTAACCACATAAACAGCCCCTCTGGACTGAGAAAATGCAGGTGCATGCCTGTAGTGGCTCAGGGTAGAAGCCAGAGGGTGCTAGAGCAGCCCTCCTTACCCTTCCACAGTGCTGAGCTGAGGAGGCATGGGTGGTCAGGCCCCAACAGGATGCTCTGATTAGGGAGGGGTCAGCGAGGGAGCCAGCAAAGAGTAGCACAGCATCTAGCACCCCATCGAGAAAACAAAAGCTGCTCTTATTAGTTCAAGCTCTTCTTAAACAACTTTTTCCAAGGAAGGAATGGAGGGACACTACCAGCTACCTGTTAATTAGCTCCAAGAAGCCCTAAGCAGACCCTGTACTGTCTGCCTTTGTCCTGTCTGTCTTACACAGACAGCTCTCAGCATTAGCTAGCATACCACATGCTGGCTACCATCCATGCTGTGGAAGAGGGGAGGAGTGGAATCCCTGCTTGAGTAGGGAGTGTAGAAAGAGGGGAACCGGAAAGCCAGGCAGATGCTGCTGTGCCAGCTATCTCTGCTGGAACTCCAGCCAGGGAACAGAGAGGAGCCCAACTCTCGAGAGCAGAGAACCCCTCCCAGGGCTCCAAAGCATTTGGGATGCTGGGGGACTCTGGTTTAAGTTAAACCAGGAAGGGGACTGGGACAGACATTGCATAAACCAGTTTGATCCAATCAGTTAAGTCTGATACTACTTCAACCAGGTTTATCTCAAAGCAGTTTCAGCCATTTTCAAAATGACTTATGTGCAGTGAATGTCTGTTCTGTTATAGGTTTAAACCAATTTCTGATCACTTAAACCAGTTTAAGTATAATGTCTGTCCCTAGCCTTAGGGAGCCCAAACTCGGGGTTGTGGGTTTCATTTCAGGGCCAAGGACAGAACTTACATATAAACCAGTATAAATGAACAGAAGTTTACTGCACATAAACCACTTTCAAAATGGCCAAATCTGGTTTAAGACAAACCCGGAAGGATGTAGCACTAGACTTAACTGTGATTTAGGTTAAATTGGTCTACTGAACTTCTGTCCCAGATTCCCTCCAGATTCAAGTTAACTCATAGTCTCCCAGCATCCCAGGATGCTTTGCACCTCCCCTCCAACCCCCACCCCCTCCAAGTGGGTTGGTGGGCTAGCCTTGAATCAAGCTGTTTGCTCCAGCTAAGCAGGGAGTTGTACTCTAACACCCCAGTTTCTGGCTTGTGCCACTTCAGGCAGGTTGCTGCACTTCCAGAATCAAAAGTGAATGTCTGTTCACTTTTATCAGTTCAATCTATGCAGAATAGATGAATCTGCAAAGAATGAATCAGTTCAGCCTTAGGCTTTTTGACTGTCTGTACTTAGCTCATGGGTCAGAAAGTTAGATGCTAAAAGTGACATGCTGCAATGCTGTGGGCATTTATAGACTGTTTTTTGCATCTGGGCCTTAACGGATAACTGCTAGCCTGCAGATTAGAGAAGTGATAAGCAATGTTTTTGATACGTTTATACTTCATTCTGTGGACAAGCTACATTTACTATACCTTTCCAGGAAAAGCATAATTTTCTTTGTTCTACTAAATCTTTAAAAAACAGGGATGTTTTGTGCTCATATTAGTGAAGAACTACCTATTG